GGACCACACAAGTGGACTGCACAAGTGGTCCACAAGTGGTCCACAAGTGGACCACAAGCTTACGATGTTGGGACAGAGTTCACAGAGTGGTGGAAAACTGTCTCATTCTATCACAGATGACAATTAATAATTCCTTCATAAGACAAGTTGGATCACACAAGTGGACCACACAACAAGTGAACCATATGAACCAAACACAAGCCAGAATGGTTCACAAGATGTGACGCATATTAACCAAACATCAGCCAGAGTGGTCCACACAAGTGAACGACCGAGTTTCAAGCATTTTCGTTCACTGATTTGTGGCACACGTATCTTTGTAAATTAATCTAAAGGCTGAAGCGTGAATAGCTAACTAATGTGTTGAAATCTTCATATATACATTTTCTGTGATGAAACAAGATGAGCGAGGGTGGACAGTTAAGGGATTACTGTACAGTAAACCTCACGTTACAGATAGGTTTCCTTCACTTTCATCTGTATCATCATAGTTCAGTGACCCATGACTTTGAACATTTCAGATTAACACTTTCGCGCTTTAGATTAGAGATAACTCGTCGCCGTTTTTTCTTACGATTCCGCGTAACAGCCTACTTTTCTCGTCCATCGAAAAAATATTTCTATAAATTCCATTTTTTAACCGAAATGGATGGGGATACTCTCAGATTATATACGTTTTGTAGAGAATTTATTTGCGAATTTTTTGGTACCAGAATGAATATTATATCACATAAACTTCTATGAGTAAAAAAAAAAAAACACAAAGTATGTTTGGGGGTGTGGCTCTGGGTGTGGCGGGCGTGTGGCAGTGGGTTCCCTTTAGCCGTTGATATATCCAACACGTGGGAAATATTTGTACGTGTTATGTATATGTCTGTGTAGGGAATTTTACTGCGATCACTGTCATACAAATTATAAAATGTTTCAACAAGTATAAACATGACAAACATCAAACGAACGAAAACAATGCGTTCGTTTCTGCCGCGAACGCATACTGAGCGACGTGGTTCTATATTTGGCGCTTCTCTTACACATGCTTTGTACAAATGTTATACATTTCATCTTATAGAAAATTTTATTGCGAACACATTGGTATAAAAAAGAAATACGTACATAGAAAAGTAGGGTCAGGAAACGTATAAATGTATAAACTTTCCAAGCATGATTTCCCCCCTGTGTTTTCGCCAGTGCGCTCGCGGCTAACTATTCTCCACTTCACACACTCTTGCGGGTGGGCAATTACCTATATTAAACATTCATATACATATGTCCGTGTAGAGAATTTTATTGCGATTCCAATGATACCAAAATTAGCGATGTAGGACAACTGTAGGCTTCGCAACCATTAAGAGAGTGGAAACATTTTGTTGCTGTTTGGCGCTCTCGGCGAGTGATCTGCATAGTTTTTTATTTGGTGTTGATACTCCTTATGCTTGGGCGGCATTTTATAGGTATGCTCTTATAGACAATTTCATTGCGAACACAGTGATACCAAATTTAAATACGTGCGCCTTCAATTATTGTCAGGACAGTCAAAAGAGTGTACACTTTTTCGGTCTTACCGCGTAGGCGCGCGAAGTGCCGAAAGCATCTGGGGTATTGTTTTTTTTTGAGCGCCGAGAGCGCGAAAGTGTTAATAAATCATTTCTAAAACTGGTGTTTTAATAACTATTGTCCTAATTAAACTAAACTAAATAAAACCAAAAAATACTGTAATATGATAGATATTTGAGAAACTATTTGAGAAATTATTCATGTTATTGGTGGCACAACTCCAGCACGAGTGGACGGATCTAATCTAATCCGTGTGCACACACCACCATGCGTGATTTGTTAGATTTTGTCGCCACAGTTCAGTGACCTACGGCTTCGAAATAATAAATAATTAAATCAGTTCTAAAATAAGTATTTTTATAGCTCTTATTATCGTAATAACGTTGCTAAACTAAATATATAAAACAAAATTATATAATTGATGTAAATCGAATATTTGAGAGAAATTTATGTTACTGGATCTGGCTTAAACACCAGCCTACTGTAGGGTGTACATATAGACCTAGTCTGCGTTCATACAGTATGCATCCAGTGCCTTTAGCTTTGTCTGCGATTGACGTACAGCCGATGGAAGAATAATCGTGGAAATTTACCATTTTTTGACTACAGCTGTATTGTTATACAACAAAATGTCTCAAGGGCTTAATAATAGTGCCTTATTAATGCCAAAAATGATGCAATATTTTGCAAGAACTTGTAGCAGAAAATCAACCAGCATGAACACAGCCTTACCCAGCACGAGAACAGCTGTACCCAGCACGAGAACAGCCGTACCCAGCACGAGCACAGCTGTACCCAGCACTGGTACAACAGCAGCCAGCACCAGCTCAGAAGCAGCTGAAACCACAGCAGCAGCAGCAAGCACCAGCAAAGCTGATGTAAACATCTAAAAACATTGTGTGTGGCGTGAACAGTTAGAACAAGTGTTAAATTTAAGGGTGTAGTGTTAAAATTAAAGTTGCAGTAATTTTAGTGTACAGTAGTTTTCATAAACTATTGTAGTACTCAACATACAGCAGAACTACTTAATCAACACAGTGTTAACGGTATAATACACTACAGTATGTATTTACTGTGCAGCATTCACAACTCCATGAGACTTCAAGATGGACATAACTCCAACAATAAGGTAAATAACAAATGTAACAGTATTTTTTAGTAGGGAAATAATATATAGGTAGAGTATATAATATGATAATGCATTTTTATTGTGTACAAGAAAAAAAAGACACACAAAACAGACAAAAAGAAAAGTACAAGACACTGACGCAAACGCCGCCTGAAGGTCACCTCTTACAACGCATCCAATGCACTGGGGTTGTTCCCATATGGTGCATTGAATCGAGGTTGTACTGTATATTATTAGGCGATGCTGTGGTCACAAGCTGAACAGCAGTGCTGTTAGCTCATGCTGCGTGCGCCAGCCTTGGTTACTCACTCAGTACTGAGGCCCTCACACCTGGGAATGTTACCCACAATTTTTTTTTTAAATGGCGTCTGTTTACAAGAGCCCTGAGGAAGTCGATGTGAACCCCATATAGCCGTGGGAGTTTTGAATCATACACTAAAAATAAAAGATCCCGGAGGCGCATTGCGCACCCCCCTGTTGAGCACTTGTAGGCACGTTGCGCAGTTCAGTGGTTAATTAACAGAAATATACTTTCTATGATTTGGTTTGGTATGTTATGGTTTATTATGGTGAATATTTCGGTGGTTTATTATAGTGCATAAAATGTAGTTATATATGTAACAAATATATACAGTGTAATAAGTGTAAAAACCCAATATCGAGTGTAGTGAAATGCTTCTTTCTGGCAGAGCCTTGGTAGCTCCCTACAGCTATCTCGCTGAGATTACTCCATGCTACCAGTCCCATCAGACACAGTTCTGTTTAGTCTACCAGGGACCAGAGCCAGAATCCTAGCCCCCTCAAATTTGGAACCTGTCCTTCCAGTATCTTCCATGTACACAACTGTATATATTATTTGATCTCTTGTCTTTCCAGAGTGTACATTTTGAGAGCCTAGAGATGACCCCAATAATTTAGGTCCATTATCGTATATGTGCATGCCGTATATGTTCTCCATAATCCCTCTTCTTTATAAATCTCTCCTACTCTGAAAGGGGAAGTATGTACCGAGCAGTGCTCAAGATGAGACAGCACCAATGATTTAAATAGTACAGTGGTACCTTTGTTTACGATTGTAATCCTTTCCCAGACACGTCGTCAACCAATAATTCGTCAATAATTGTAAATTGAATTAAAAAATAATGTAAATTGAATTACTGTAATCTGTTCCACACCCCCAAAAATATTAACTTAAAAATACATATTATACAGAATAATACTCATTTTGTACTAGCTACAATACAGTACTGTATGTATATCTTACCTTGAATAAGGACTCTTGTTGGCATATGGAAGACGGTAAAGAGGAGAGGTGTTTGTGTTTGGAAGGGGAGTCACTTTCTATTATAACATCAGGCAGTGATGACTTTTCTGGGGTACTCTCTCTCCTACTTTTGCCTGCATACCACTAGGACCGGCTTGTGGCTCACTACTTTTTTCTCACTAAAAACCTGTCTAGAGACACTTGTTTCTCCCTACGTTGTAACACTTGTCTGAAGTGAGACATCACATTGTCATTAAAAAGGTTAACACAACGGCCTGCTACAGTTTGATTTGGGTGAGTCTTTTCAACAAAAGTTTAGGTTGTACTTTACCACTGACTTTCTTGGGACCCATGGCATGATATATAATAACTTTTATGTTAAAAAGGCAAAAAAGCAGGCAAACAATAAAATTCTTCAACGAATTCAAGCACGGCCGCAGTCGTCACTATGTGGGATAAACTTGTAACCAAACTGAGAGGGTCTTGCCCCACGCCCCCTACACCACACGCTCGTTCGACCCATATACATACGAACAGACATCGTCTTCCAAGTAAACCATCGTACACCTATTCAAATTTTACGATGAATTTGATATCGTATACCCTCTCCTTCATACACTTCACACCTTACTTATACTTATACATATACGTATACATTTGGGAGTGAGGTAGTCCCCCAAAAATTCGTACTCTAGGGCAGTTCGTCAACCGAGGTTCCACTGTATTAACATTTTGGTGGGATCCCTGGATTTGAATGTTCTCATAATTAATCTAATACTTAACAAATATTTTCACAAAATTTTACCTTTCATCATACTAGTTTCCATGCTGTTATCTCTTTCTTTTTTGGTATATATACTGCACAGTTCTACTGTATACCCATACACTGAAATTTAAACTTTGTATGTGGTTTGGCATTCATTATTTTCCAATTATCATTCATCAGAGACTAAACTTATTGTATCTGAAAAAATTTAACAACCTACATATCAAAATCAGAACACCTGCAAAGGTACCAAGTACAATATAGTACAGAACATGTACAGTACTTACTTTCTCTTGAGACTCGATGGCATGCTTTAGGGATCTTCGATTTGACCTACAAGAAATTAAAAAAAAAAAATTAAACATTGGCTAGTTCTATAAATATCTAGAACTTTAGATATTACTATATTTTAAAATTTACAAATCTCAAATGAACCACATGTACATTAGAAAGAACTTTATCAGTGGCAGAATACAGTAGTTAGCAGATGGAATGCATAAGGCAGTGATGTAGTGGAGGCTGACTCCATACACAGTTTCAAATGAAGATATGATAGAGCCCAGTAGGCTCAGGAATCTGTACACCAGTTGATTGACAGTTGAGAGGCGGGATCAAATAGCCAGAGCTCAACCCCTGCAAACTAGGTGGGTACATACATAGATACGTATGGGGCCTCACAACCTAGTGGATAGCTCTTGGGGGTAGTAGTCCTAATGGCAAGGGTTTGATTCCCGGTGGAGGCGGAAAGAAATGGGCAAAGTTTCTTTCATCCTGATGCACCTGTTCACCTAGCAGTAAATAGGTACATGGGAGTTAGACAACTGCTATGGGATGCTTCCTGGGAATGTGTGTGTTAGAGAGAAATACTAAGTGTATGAGTATCTATAATAGAGAAAAAAATAGATTGATTAGAAAGGCAGGGTCCAAGAGCTAATAGCTTGATTATGCACACACAAATAGTTAATACAAATAGTAAACACATACATATATACTTACTTAATTACTTTAGGCTTGTACTGGGGTCCCCAAAGTTGAACTACTGACCCTCCCCAGAAAACAATCCCACAACAGTTGCCTAACTCCTGGGTACCTATTTACTGCTAGAAAGAATGTTGGACATGTGGCTCTGTGGGCCACTCAAAGCAGGAGCCTGTTGGACCAAGTTATTACAAGTCGAGCCCTGCCTGCGGCCATGCCTGGGGAGTAGAACGACTCCCAAAACCCTCTCCATGTAAACTCCAGGTGAGCAGCAACCATGCCCAGCCATTTGTCTCACCCGGGAATCGAACCTAGGAGCCTCGACCGAGTGGCACAGGAAGCCACTGTACTAAGCATAAAATTGAGTTGGATATTGCCATTCCAATCTTTGTTGTAAAAGTCACAGTATTTCAGGAAATTAGGGATGGCAGAAGAGCAGTCACTGACACTAAAAGGGCAGAAAGCAAGAGTAAAAAGAGCTATGATTTATTTAGAACAAAGAACTATATGTACGGGCAGCACAAAACATCCACCAGACAGTGTGACATTGTAATTATCAGAATTAGGCTGTGATATCGACATCTATGGCAGGTGGCTGCAGGTAATGAATCAACAATGTGAACAAGAGCTAGGACATACTCTCCAACACTATATCTGCGATTTCCCAGTTATCAATGATTTCAGACAAAATGGGATGAGGTACAGTACTTTGAGCTCTGTAACTACTTCATACACTCAAGAATATTGGAAGATATTCTTGTCAGGTACCCAGATTTTGCTAGTGCAGGCTAATAGATCAGCCTTACATTTCATGTTCCTTCCTGATCCCCAATTTGCTAACTGTGGGTGACTGTAACCTTTCCACTGCTGCCCCTGGATAGGATAAACATATCAATTGACACTAGCTCTTCACACATACAGTAATAATAATATTTTTTTTATATACTGTATATACAAAGAATTCTTACATTCTTGTAAAACCACTACAACATACAGCATTTTGGGCAGGTCCTTAATCCTAATTTTCCCTGGAATATGACCCGCCAAATAGTTTAACAACCAGGTACCCATTCACTGCTGGGTGAACAAAGACTACAGTTAAGGATTTGCACACGGTCAATCCTCCCCCAGTCAATTATTAATAATAATAATTCATTGTGTCTGGGGACAGAAAGCCAGAGTGTATTTATACATGTTAGGTTTATATTGAGCCCACCCCCAAGGGCAAATTACTGAGCCTGCCCAGGATGCAACTCCACAAGCTGACTAACCTTTGGGTACTTACTTACTGCTAGATGAACAGGCCCATTAGTTGATAGGAAATGTACCCAATCATTTCTGTTCCTGCCCGTGATTTGAACCCAAAATTCACGATTGTGCATTGAGAAAGAACTTGACTGTACTATGTATTGGGACCCACTTGCTTAATTTAGAGACTGTACGTGTTGTCAGTCTCTAGCCGATTGTTGATGTGATGATATGCACCAAATTTTTTAACTATCTCATCAAAACTGTAACTTGCTTAGCTAAATGAATTTTGTAGTTCAGTCTCTGAGCCCATTATGTGCCTCTGTAACCCTTTCCACTATCGCCCACAGGATAGGTATGGGGTGCATAAAAAATTATCTGAACTAAAACTCGCCCGATTCCATGGATTAACCATGCTGTGAGATGGGGACATTAGATAAACTTATAGCTAGTTTCTGATCTACACTTTGTAAGCTAACATATAGATTAGGGGAAGCAGCACACTGCTGTGTATACCTAAACTTAAAAAAAAATGTAAACACATTAACAAAAGCAGCTTCTAAACACCTCGCCTAAAACCAACTGTAATAGTTACCAGAACATCGTGGAGAGGTGTAGAGGCAGCAGAGTGTGGTGTAAGAGGTGTGTACACCACCAGTGTGGAGAGGAGCGCGAGGCACACACACACAACACGGTGAGTACACACACCAGCAGTGTGTGTGTGTGGAGGAGAGCGAGGCGCCACAGTGTTGTTGTTGTTGTGGGGAGAGAGGCTCGTGTGGCGCCTCTCACAGGGACCCTCTGTCTTAACGCTCCCTCTCCTCTCTCTCTCTTACACTTTCATTTCATGCGTTTTGTAAAATACTACCTGTGGATATTAAACTTCCTTAATTGTATGTTTTAATAATAATAGCGATGATAAATATAACTTTGCTTACAACATATATGAACGTACACAGCAAACGTTATTTTTTTTTTTTTTTAATAAACACATATAAAGTACAGTTGAATTGTGAAATTACATGTCATTTATTAAGTGGTATAGTTTTATAACCCAGTAACACGTATAGCGTTTAGGGCTAACGCAGAATTTACGGTGTTGGTGTTTTAAATTCAGCTACTCGAAATAGAAAGTTGCAAGTAGCACGGGCTATGGTGAGCCCGTAGAGGACTTAACCTGGCACAGGAGCGGGGCTGTAACTGTAGCAGAATTTACAGTGAATGCTACACTATAAGGTACAGAGCCAAGTGCTGCTTTCCGGTATTATAAGGCGGTCCGAAGAATTACCCAACAGCTCCTAGCATTATGAAACTAATGAAGAAATATGACATTTACGAACTACAATGTTGCTGCTGAACGTAGAACATCACGTATACATCGAGTATTGGTCAAAAGAGCTAGAAGTTAATCTAATCTTCCCATCTAACAGCATGAACTCTTGACAATATCTCGTCGAGGCCACTATAGAGATATGGTGGCCCTCATGTAAAATCAGGCAAATAATAATAATACTAAATTAATAAATATACTAAATAATGACTGCGATGCGTACCAGGACGCATCGCGGGTTTTGGAACAAAGGGTGAACTGGTGCGCACGGCGATACGTGTTTGTCCCCATGGTGCCAAGAAGAGGGATGAGGAGTACTTTGGGCTGGGCCCTGAGCCTCGCTCAGCGCGCGTGTTTCAAATCACTTAATGGTCCTCGAAAATATCCGACCTTCCCTCCCCCTAGTTTTTTTTTTAACAGCCAATCTCCCCCAAAGGCACTGGGAGGAGGGGCATCGCCTCCCCCCCTCTCACAATCCAGCAGAAATGTGCTGGAATGTATCCATATAACAATGACACTATCCATGTTCCCGTACTCTTGTATAAATAGGCATGTATTTCTTATTTTCCGTATCTCTGTTCAGGAACGGTTGTTGCCCATGTTTACTACTTAGTCTCCCATGTAGGTGAATATGTAGGAATCGTTATTAAAGTATTCATATAGGTTCACCTTAGTGTTAGGCGAGTAGGCTTCTTTAGCTTTAATGTTACTGGCTTAGAATTATAATGTCAAGATGTTTTCCATAGCATCGTTTTGTGAAATATTTAGCACGTCTAAGGTCGTGAATGCATGTGCCTGATTTATGAGCATTAGGTGGGCTAACCAGTTAGAAATATGGTAATTACCCTGCATACCTATTACTCTAAATAGGGACACATGCAGGCGAGGAGTCACAATAACGTGGCTGAGATATGTTGACCAAACCACACACTAGAAAGTGAAGGGACGACGACGTTTCGGTCCGTCCTGGACCATTTCACAATCGACTTGAGAATGGCCCAGGACGGACCGAAACGTCGTCGTCCCTTCGCTTTCTTGTGTGGTTTGGTTAACAATAGGGACACATGTAATCCGGCACATGCAACACGTACCCACCAACTCACTGTTGCAACTACAAGCAACCTGCAGTTACAAATATTTTATAATTATATTAATAACAATTATTACCGCCTGTGCTGTATTGTCTTACCCGCAAACCCAAAATAATACACAGTGGTTTAATATATAATACATGGAACCAGGAAAATCACAGGATGAGAGCCTATATTGCGATTACTATTGATAATTCAATTTTAATTATGTCCCCAGAGGGGTAGTTAATTGGGCAGCGTCATGGGAGCAAGTACAACACCCCTAATTGGAAGAGCCTTGGGTTTTTAATTGATGGGCCTCGACTCAACCTTGTGTCATGTAGCCATTTTGTTCCCCCTAGTGCACCTTATCCCCAAGAACAGTTTTCTTAATGTGTTTTTAATTGCCATGGATACTGTCACGCATCCCTACTTGATTTTAACTCGTAGGGACAAATGCATGCTAGGGATATGCACGACTGTAAGAGGGACAATGCAATTTGGACAATACGGAACAGGGCGGCGCTCCATTAAGTGACCGTGAGATAAGATAGTATGGCCAATATGCAGCCTTGCCAGAGCTGCTTCCCACCGCCGGTTACGGTGGTAGGAGGAAGGCAACAGGGACACACTCTACACTTAAGTATATGCAGTTTGTTACCAGTAACAGAAGACCAACAACCCTGCCTACGGGCAAGGATGGAAGAATGAATAACTGGGTAAAAGTCGGAATAAGGAATACCTTTACGGGAGACAGGACAAGTGTGGATATTTTCCTTAGAGGCAGCATCCGCACGCTCATTTAAAGAAACACCAACATGGCTGGGAACCCAGCAAAATTCTACCGACTTAAATATACTGGAGATAAGAAACAGCCAATATTGAATCTCGATGACCACCGGGTGGATCGGATTAAAGGACCCCAAAGCCATGAGGGCACTACGAGAGTCAACTATCACCACAAAGGAGGATTGACAACGAGAAAACAGGAGACGAAGAGTATAGAGAATAACATAAAGTTCTGCTGTGAAGATGCTAGCCTCTGTTGGAAGGCGACACATATAAGTGCGGTCCGGAAAGACAACAGAGTAGCCCACACCATCAGCAGACTTAGACCCATCGGTGAAGATGGAAACAGAGTGGAAGTGTGAAGAAAAGTGCTCAAGGGAAAGACGTTTCAGAACTGTAGGAGGGGTAAAAGCTTTAGTGATGCGGGTCAGGGAAGTACAAAATTTAGGAAGGGGGACCCTTCATGGGGGCAAGGACGGAACCATACGAGAAGGAAAATTGGTAATACGAACCGAAAGAGAATCTTGTAAGCGAGACCAATGGACAGAATGAGGAAGGTGATGAAGAGGAACAGGAACTACAGGAGGGGTAAAAGTAAAAGAACGACAGAGGCAAAAGTGAGGATGTTGTAAGGACCATGCAAGAAAGCGAAGACTGTAGCGATCACGGCGGTCCTGGAGAGATAGGAAGCCAGTGTCAGCATACAAGCTGAGGACGGGAGTTGAACGAAAGGCACCGGAGCTGAGGCGCAGCCCAGTATGGTGCAAAGAATCAAGACGACGAAGAGTAGAGGCAGAAGAGTATGAAGGGCAACCATAATCGAGTTTAGACAGGACGAGAGTGGAGTGCAAATAGAGGAGCATGCACCTATCCGCTCCCCAAGAAGTATGGGACAAAACCTTAAGTAGGTTAAGGGCCTTAGATCATTCAACTCAGAGGTAAGAGATGTGGGGCGACCAAGACAAACGAGTGTCAAAGATTAACCCCAAAAGTTTCGCGGAATCTTTGTACACAAGGGGATGACCATAAAGTGACAAAGGACGAAGGATGACATGCTTTTGAGTGAAGGTCATAACACAAGTCTTAGTTGTAGAGAACTTGAAGCCATGATTGGTGGCCCAAGACGACACAGCATCAATCGCAAGTTGAAGCTGCCGTTGAAGGAGAGGCGGATCATCACCTCGACAGCACCTTGGGGCCTTCATATTGCCGAAAAGAGGCAGAGAGAGTGGTGCCAAGCCTGACTGGAAAGGAACGACGAGAGAGGAAATTTTGGAAGAAGAGAAGGAGATTACCACGAAGGTCAAAAGAACGAAGTTGGGACAGAATATGATATCTCTAGGTTGTGTCATAAGCCTTTTCCAGGTCAAAAGACCCGAACAGAGGTGTCCCAAATGCAGGACAATGCGGCTAAACGGGTAGCTGCATCCGGTGAAGGAGCAGCGACGACACATGTACCTAAACGGGTACCGTCTATTGATGTGGTGGTGTGGGGTTAAAAGTAACAAGAGGCATCCACCGAATCAACAAGGTGTTTATGGAGTGAGAAATCGTCAGGAGGTGTAGAATCCAGAGGGAAGAGATCAAAGTATTTAGCCCATGAAGCAGGACCAAACAAGACTTGTTATGTATTAGTATGAGAAGGGATCGTGCGAGTACGGCCGTGACAGGGACGGCGTTGAGAACCCCTAGAGAGAGAGGGGTTAAAAGGTGCAGTAGTCACAATGAGAGACTGAGCCGCGCCAGGGGACGAGGTGGTCACCGCTGGGGGCGTATAGCTCGACCCAACCACAGAGGAGGGAGGGAAGCTGGGAGGAGTAGTCAGGAGGGGGTCGAAGGAGGAGCTAGGTCTGGGCCCAATGTAGCAGGGCCCGGGTTACAGAGCCCGGTCTTCCAACACAGTCCGACTCGGGGGCTTGGTCACCCACCCCACGAACCTGAGAAGTCATAAGAGGAAGGGTATTTATCGACATGAAAACGAGAGATAAGACTTTCATTCATGAATGTGCCCCCATATCCACCACTGTTACGAACCGCTATGAGCGCTATGTCATGGGTTCGTATCCTGGCCGGGGAGGATTTACTGGGCGCAAATCCTTAACTGTAGCCTCTGTTTAACTCAACAGTAAAATGTGTACTTGGTTGTAACAACGATTCTTCGCGGCAGGGGATCGTATTCCAGGGACCTGCCCGAAACGCTACGCGTACTAGTGGCTGTACAAGAATGTAACAACTCTTGTATATATCTCAAAAAAAAAAAAAAAAAAAAAAAAAAAAAAAAAAAAAAAAAAAAAAAAAAAAAAAAAAAAAAAAAAAAAAAAAAAAAAAACGGATCCAGCGTCCGAGCACGGAGCAGTGACAACCGCGCCATCTGTGGGTCAGCTCCCGAAACCCCCACCAAATGGACGACGACTCCTGGTGAGGACGACGTGTACTGGCCACCAGGGCCAGTTTCCAGTCCGGTTCAGCTCACAACACTGCCGCTGCTGACCTCTGGTGAGGTGGTGCTCAGACTACAACGCCATCTATGGAGTGGATATGTCGGGCGTTTGTGTCTGAGCCTGTAAGTGAGGTGTTTTAGTGTCCCTGTTATTGATGACGTGTCTGCTTACAGAGTCGACCTGGGACTGCTGTGATGGAAGCTGAGTCAGTCTAC